GCTCTATGCCAACACCCGTCCCAATGAACTTGTAAGAACTTCACAATTGGAATCTCCACAAGTGTGGACGTGGGAGTTCTTTGTACTCCAATAGTGTTCATGGCACTTTGGGCATTCATGTCGTTCAAAGCCATATGAAGTCATCGTCTTCACGGGGTAATATTGTTCATAATTCGCAGCAAAAATCGGCTTCGCCTTGGCCTTGAATTGCTTCGGCGACATCGCCTTCACTTCAACCATCTCGGCCATGATGTATTAACTAAAACCCTCAGTTCGGTATTTCTTTTATTCACGCCATTTTTTTGGTTTTTTGGGGAACTCTTTTCTCAGTCGTTTTTTTCGTTGAGGAAAATTGGAAGTGTGCTTTGGGAATTTTGGTTGACTGGAACAATTTCTGGGAAAATTACTTGTTTTTTGCGTCGGTCATTTATTAAAAAGAAAATAGTTTGAATGACGTGGAAACCTGTTTTTTTCTTTTTCTTAGTAATTAATTTATTAATAAATTAATTTAAAAAATACTAGTTGTAATAGTTTGTTGTGACATTATACCGAGAATCGAAGACAAAATGATCTTCAGAATACATAGTAACCCTCTAAATAAGACTCACGGTTGAAAATGTTTTACAGACGAAAAACATTTTTAAAAGTAACTAAAATGGTATTAAAAATGTTATTGGTGTGTATAGAATCTCTTAACTATTCAATGGCTGTAACTTATTGTATTAAACTAATAATTTCATTGGTTAACAGATACAATAATAATACAATAATAATAATTTTTATTATCAAAACAATATTAAAAACTGTTGTTAAAAAAAGCCAAATGAACTCAATATTTAAAATAAAAACAATTTTTATTAATGATAATAAAATATATTATACAAAAAACGACACAATAATAAAACCTCAAAATTACAGACTTATATAAATAGAACAGTATGGAAACTTTGTAACTAGTATATTTATAGTAAAAAGAGTTAAAGCCATTTACGAATTGTAAGAACCAAAAAAGCATATCATGGAAACGACATCAGAAAACGATATAGTCTTTGACCAGTTAGATACCGACAAGAATCAGCTTATTACATTTGAAGAATTTTACAAAGGAATAGAACCGTACATCCATGCAGAAGATATCAAACCTCTTCGCCTCTTTTTTTCTTTAGCAGACACAGACTCCAATGGTTCTATCAACAAAGAGGAGTTCTCGAAATTATTTGATGTCTTTGAGACAATGGGGAGTGGGTCTCAGGTTGATATGTACACCGCCTTTTTTGCTCTTGCCGATTCCAATAAAGATGGCGTCTTAGAAATCGACGAACTTCGAAGGTTCTTAAATTCTACTGGTTTCGCTTCTTCAAGAAAAGAAGCAAACAAACTTCTTTTGGAATTCGATAAAAACAGTGATGGTGTTCTTCAACTTTCAGAGTTCTTAGCTATTTTCATAGACAAGAAATAAAACTCATTCATTTGCACTACATTTTATAGTTTTATTATAGTTTTATTATAGTTTTATTTAATAGTTTATTATAGTTATTTTTTAATAGTTTATTATTTTTTTTATTGATATTTTATTTGTAGTTTGTTAATAGTTTAATTATAATAGTTTTTTAATATTTAATTTTTAATATTTTTTTTTCGTTATTAATACAAACAACGTTTTCAAGAGAAAGTAATTTATAACAATAGATTAGTTTTTTTTAATAGTGATGGGCACAACAGGTCGTTGAGTTTTAACGACACTTGAGATTGCCAAGTTATGCTGTTGCTTTTCTTTGTATTCGTCAAGAGATTTTTCTGGCTCGACATTTTCAGTTTTATCAAATGTTAAAGAATATCTCCCATGATTTTCTTTTAAAAGAACGCCATGACTGTTACGGGGTGTCGGGTCATCCAAAGACTCGGGTTGTTCCCCAATCAACGGAACTTGCGAAGGTCTGCCCGAAATGACGGGACTGTCACCCAAATCCCCTTTATCTTTGTCTTTAGATAAATTATTAATACGCAAAGTCATCTCGCGCACCGTGTAAAACTTTATTACTTTGTGATGAATGGACTTAACAAGATAAATGAGGATCAATAGCACGTCGCTTAGAACAAATACTATATTCAAAACTTCATTCACAGTAAATAAAACACGAGCGTTGTCGGCAATTTGTGTACCACATATCGTACATGTCCCATCCAATAACATCGCGTCGACGGAAGAAAATGAAAGTCGGTTCTCATATAAACAATCACACCGTTCCGGCATCATTTCATTTTCAACATAACAACAACTGTACTATTTATTATATATTTATTTACTTTAATTGTAATAATTAGTAGTACTTAAAAAAATGATTCTTTAAATAATAAAATTGTTAGAAAACAAACCTGGACTTCAAGGGATCTCTTTCTGTCATTTTGAAAATCTGAGAAATTGAAATTTTCGTGAGAACCCTTCACCCACGTGATTGTAATGAAAGGAGTGAGAGTGATGAATTCCAGAACGAGGAGTGATAAGAAGATAGTTCTCGTTTTGTGATATCTTTTTTGGTTATAAAAAATCATGACAATCGCAAAGAAGTGAAAAATGATTCCAATCACGCCAAAGATTGACGTGACGAAACATGCACTTAATCTATAAACTAATAACTCTTTATGAATCACCCAATGAATAGTTAATCCATACATCGATACAATTATATAAATGCAAGCAATGGTCTGGCTGTGAATAAAACTAAATAAATAGTAAATACGAACAAACGAATAGAACTGACATCATCCCTAAAACGATGATTTCATTCATTTTGCATTTTTTTAGTTTTTTTAAGTTCTTTTTTCCTTCAGACAAGATGGAACGCTACGAACCAAATTATGTGGAAATTGCAAGTAATTTTATTTTTTAAAATAAAAGCGGTTTGTGTCGAGAAATAACTACACTAAATTGTTTCAACACATGTTTTGATGTTCGGGTGTGATTTGAATAAAACCACTTTGTTGTTTTATCAATTTTGATTTGTGCAATAGTGTTGTTTGTTATTGTCGCGTTCCATCAATGTAAAGTGATAAGTTAAGATTGAAATTGAAAGATCTTAACATTTTTAAAAAACAAAATGAATAACAAAAAAACACAATTTCATCAATTCTATAGAAAATCTTCCCTTCGTTTTTCTTGAAAAAATAACACTTTTTCAAGTTTTGTTCCATTTTAACACAACAGGCATATTTAATTATTGTGTTAAATATTATTGATAATTTGATTATTTTGGCGGAACAATGGGAAAAAATGCCATTTTTCAAAAAAGTTATAGAGCCCAAAAATAAAAATTTAGCCGCCAAAAATTCTGTTGCTTTTTCATAAAATGTTTATATAATAGAATTACTATAAAATTTAACTTAATTTTTTGGCTTTTTTTCAAAAAAGTTTTTTTAACAATTAGACATTTTTTTTACAAAAACACAATATTTTATATGGTAATTAGTATATATAATAAAATAAATTATAAATACAAATAAATATATTTATTCTTTTTACCAAAATAATAATATGACCAAAAACAAATATAAAAATATAAAAACTTCTGTTGTTGTTTTGAACAAATAAATATACAGATAGTAGAAAAATAAGGTGTCAGGAATAAATTGGGTGTCAAATAAATTAGGGATTAGTTAATGTAAAAAAATGGGTTTCGTTTTTTTTTTTTATTTTTTCCCCTCACACAAAAAAAAATAAAAAACCATTAAATAACTTAAAATCAATCTGACACCCAATTTATTCTTGACACCCAAATTTTCTACCATCTGTAACTAAAACACAAATCAACAAAAACTATACAATCAATAACTTGGTAACAAATTATTTTTGGAAAAAGCCATATTGTCATTCTACAAATTAAATCTCCAGATTATTTTGTTTCAGTTGTTTTTATTCCATTTTTCTGACTATTTGAATCGTTGGTATTCATTTTGTTTTGTTCTGTCATTTCAATCTGAATTGGTTTTTTGATAAATTTTTTTGTAGAGTGAATTTCTTCTTCCATTTTTTTCATTTCTTCTGCTGTTTGTTGTGGAGATCCTATTTTGATTTCTTTAAGTCTTTTTTCAATCTCATTAACTTCCTTGTTTTTTCGTATTTTCCTTCTCAGTGCAAAGTAACAATACCAAACGATCAAAATGACATCTGAAACAACTAATAAAGAATTTAATATTTCAGTAACTTTAAAAAACAAATTGCTGTTATTCTTTATTTGTTTTCCACATATTGCACACGTTCCATCATTTACCATCTCATCAACAGAAGTAAAAGTTAATCGATTTTGGTATAAACAATCACAAGCACTCATAATATTATGATCGTTTACGTAACAACACGAAAACTATATGTCATCATATATTATAAATTTATTAATCATAATTAAAAATTATTATAATAAATATTTTTGTAAAATCACAAACTTGTGTCTCTAACGCATGAATATGTTCTTCATCAAAGTCATTTATATTTAATTCCTCTTGAGAACCCTTCACCCACGTGATTGTAATGAAAGGAGTGAGAGTGATGAATTCCAGAACGAGGAGTGATAAGAAGATAGTTCTCGTTTTGTGATATCTTTTTTGGTTATAAAAAATCATGACAATCGCAAAGAAGTGAAAAATGATTCCAATCACGCCAAAGATTGACGTGACGAAACATGCACTTAATCTATAAACTAATAACTCTTTATGAATCACCCAATGAATAGTTAATCCATACATCGATACAATTATATAAATGATTGATACTATCTTATTGTTATTATAGTTTTTTTGAATATTTAAACGAAATGACAAACGAATAGAGGGCCCATTATACCCAAGACATTAATCTGTTGCATGACGTCTCACTTCTCTTTGTTTTTGAGATTGTCAATTGATTGTTTAAATAGTTTGTATTATTGTGAAGAGATAAGAGTTAAGATTGTGGATAAAATAATAAAAATAGTATTGTGACTTTGTATCAATTGTTCATTCTTAATATTATAACTTATAATAATATTACTAAAATATAGGTAATTACAAAATAATATCAACCACGTTTAGAAGGCTTTTACATATTTTTTAAAATGACATGATAGTTTTTATAAAAAACCTTTTAAAAAATGGAAAGTCATCAAAAAAAAAGTTGTAAATAAAAACACTAAAAACTGAATACTTATAACAGAACGACTTAATTATATAAACCTTGTAATTTATATTTGAAAACTCGACATTTAAACTACTTTTTCTATGTGTAATTGTCCATATTGACTCTTTTATTTATTATTGATTTCATAATATTTATGACTTGATTCATTTTTGTTTGAAATTTTTTATTTTTTAAATATTTTTTTTGGTGTATTTTTTTCTTATTAAAAAAATAACTAATAATAATTATTATTATTTTTTTATAAAAATAAATATTATTTATTAATCATTTATTATATTATTAACTAAATAATGATCTATTTTAAAAACAAAAAAAAGAGGAATTTCTTAAAATTGGGTTGAAGAAAAAAATTCAAAAAATCAGTTTAAAAAAAATAATAACACAAAAATTAAAAAAAAGAAAAAATAATCCACAAAACAAATCAATTCACGAATTTCCGAAACAACACAAATGAACAATGAATAAGCTTTAAGGAAATGACATGAACATTGGGTCTTCAAGCGCGTCCTTCGCAGATATTCTTTCGTCGGGATTGAGTCTAAGCATTTGTCGTAGTAACTTCACCCCGGCCGACCCAACAAACTGAAAAGTAGTTTCAAAATCGACTTTTTTGAACCGTGGTGGGAGGGGTTTCAATGAGCTTTTTAATGTGTTGAACTCGGGCCACTCGTCTGGGTCTGGCATTCCCATCACCTCCAAAATTTTTATCGCCTGGTCGTACTCCGACTCGCCTCTAAAAACAGGGTGTCCAAACCCAATCTCCGCGTAGATGGCACCCAAACTCCAAATATCAACCGCGGAAGTGTACACCTCTTTTCCAAGTAAAATCTCGAGTGGTCGATACCACAATGTGATTATCTCCAATGTGTATTCCCTCACTGGTAAAGTAACTGCACGCACCAACCCAAAATCCGCCAACTTCACAACACCGTCACGCGTTAAAAGAATATTTTGGGGTTTTAAATCCCTGTGGAGAAATCTTCGTGCGTGCAAATATTCCAGAGCCATCAAGAGCTGCTTCATTATTCTGATTTGCTCTGGAACTGTGATGAAGACCTTCGACCGAAGATACTTCGCAAGGTCGGTCTCGCAATACTCGAAAACCATGGAGAGCTTATCGACTCTGTTATACACGGAAATGAGTTGTACGATGTTAGGGTGTCTCAGTAATTTAAGTGCGCACACTTCTCGGATCGACGTGCTACTGATCCCGTCGCTGTTATCTGGTTTGATGACCTTGAGGGCGTATATCCCTTTGTTGCCTTGCTGCTGAACATCCTGCACCTTTTTGACTATCCCGTATGTGCCCTCCCCTAACACCTCGAGGACTCTGTACCGGTTGTCGCACTCAAGACCATACCTTTGGGGGATTGAACGAGTCTTGGTAAACATCTCCTTTTGTTTTTGCAGTTTCTCTCCCAAAGAATTCCTACAAATTTGAGGGTTCTTCGCTTCTGTCTTTCCAACTTTTTCAATCCCAAAAGTGAGAGAGTACATTTTTTTCGGCATTTTTTTTATTTTGTGTTATATTTTCATTTTTGTTTTTTCATCACATCACATTGGTTTGTTTTCTAGTAAATATATTAAAATTGATTTGCTCAAAAAAACAAATAAAAAATTGGTAAAATAGTATTCAAAAAACAGTTAAGCAAAAATTAAAAAGAGATTTTTTATTTTTTTTGTTTATTTTAGTTCTTTGAATTATTATTATTACTATTACTATTTTCACTCATTTTTACTCGGTTGTAACAAAATTATAAATTAAAACGAACTATATTAAATACTAAAAGTACAATAGCATAAAAATGATAAAATTATAACAAACTCTTTTATCAAAGTTTTGTTTTTAATAACAATAATGTTTTAAAATTTTTTTTGAGAGTGGTGAGATTGTGTGAACGGAATAATTAAACATTTAATGGAGAAAAAAAAAGGAATGAAAGTGCGTACCCGTAACGAGTTGTGTGAGGTCAAGCGGGGAAGCATTAACCGCGAGAGGGTCTCGAGCGCATCGATCATAGGACTCCATGTTGCTTTTGGCAATCCAATTCTCGTCAAGAAACCAAGCAAAGTCTCACACAAAACTCTTCCCCACATCAAAATCGAAAAAACGATGTTGGGAGGGTATGACATCATGGAATCGGTGGACCAAACAACTTTTTCTCTGTTGGATAAAAGATCGAAGGAAGCAACCATTCTCAATTTGATAAGTCATTCCTTCGCGACGTTGGTCAACGGAAAAAGCGCCAAGAGAAAACCTTCATTCAAAACAGAAAAATTGAACATCTTCGAATCGATTGAGCCATTCACTTCTCTCGGGTTTTGTGAATTTGGGAAGAAGGTAATTGATGTCATTATGAAGGAAGACGACCCCACTCATACAAAACGACACCAATTCGTGCAACTGGACGAGTGCGATAAACGAATTTTGCAGGTACTGAACGAGGTGGTCACAGATAAAAACTACGTGAGCGAAAACGGAAGTGACATTGTTGCAATGATCAATACTTACGCAGATAAAATTGCTGCTCCAACAGAACTTGCTGACCGACGACCACTTCAGAACACCGAAAAAACAATTAACATGTCCAAAGAACTCGAGTTCTGGAATTGCCAAAAGATAAACACGTACAACTACAAAACGTTGTTTGACTCATTTGCAGAACAAGTGGGACAACATGGAGATTATATGAGAACAGTTGGGATCTTGAATTTGGTTGGGATGATTCGTTTGTTACTTTTTATTTGTTCTCAAAGAATGTTGAAATCAAGGAAAAGAGGATGTTGACAAATTGTGCGACCCCTTTGAATTTTTGGAAAGTGAGTTCAAAGCGGTTTCGTCTCAGTTTCAACAGTACTTCGATGAGTGTTCTCGAATAGAACAAGAGATACAAAACTCACTTCTCAGCGCTGATGAAAATAAGTTGGAAGAGATCGAACAAATGTTGCACTTTACGTACCCATTATACATGAACTCCTTGATACAGTCATTCAGACAACTGTTTTCAATTGGAAACATCCACTTGGGGAACGACAACACATCGGGTATTATCCAAAAAGCTCGACAAGAGAAGGTTGTGAGCGAAGTTGAAAGGCATAAAGACGCGCAAAACACTTACTTGGGAAAGGAGCTTATGGACATATTGGTTTCAGAAAACAGAACCACAGACTCAGTCCCGATACACATTGAGATTTTACTCACATACTTATACGACTACTGTTATGACTCACCAAATATCTTTGCGCCATTGAGCAGCGATGATGTGGTTGTTGCAAGCCAAATTTTGAGAATGCTTCAAGTCATCGATATGAACCAACTCTCTCCTCATTTGCTTGCTGGTGCGTTAAAAATGTTCTTGTGCCAGATACCAGGAAGGTTGATCAACAAAACCTTGACGCATTCACTCATCGAGCAGTGGTCTTCAATCCCAAAACCCATCTCTTTCCAGATGTTCAATAAGACAATACGCAACCTGTTAAACACGTGCCTTCCCCAGAACCTAACATTGTTAAAATACACATTCAAGTTATTTTCGAAGGTAAACGCTTTTTCACAAACGAACAAAACAAACGAATTTGTCATTGCAAAACAGTTTTCCGAAGTTGTCTTTGACGTCGAAGAGAGTGTTCAAGAAAAAGCACAGGTATTGGAGGAGATAGTGTGTTTCATCGTGTTGGAATTCAAACACTTTTTCCCGGAGGATATCAGCGACACAGTTCTCATGCTTGAGAAGGACAAAAAGAAGTTGAAAGAGTTTGAGAAGAACACACAGAAAGAACGAGAAGGCCGCATTTTGCAACTGACAACGATGGTTCCCCCACCAAAGTTTCTCGCTCAAGACAAAGAGACGCGCGTTGAAAATAAGGGTTCTGAGTTGCTTAATGAGATTCAACAGTACATTATCAACAAGAAGACCCGGAAAATGCAATGTGAATAAAGTTGTTGTTGTATTTTTTTAAATCAATAACAACAAATAAATTGTTTACCCCTGTAACTTCTTCAAGTCAAGCACGACCTCATCTATACACACCCTATCAGCTGCGCAATGTTCCCAACAGTTGCATATAGTGTCGAACAACTGTTTTGGCATCTCGTTGGGTTGATTCAATCGCGACCCATTACAGACAAACATCGCGATTTTCCATGGGTACTCGAACTCAGAGGAGTTGTATGGGTTCTGTAACGTCGAGATTGCGAACATAGTCAGTCCGAACGCAAAAACGTCTGACTTTGTCGAGTAGTTTTGTCCGCAGATGATTTCAGGTGCGACGTATGTTGGGTTCTTAGTGATGACAACCTTTTGATTGTAGAACTGCTTGTAATTTCTGTGATACCCAATATCAGTCAATTTGGCAACAACCATTTCATTCAAATCAGTGGACATCACCATGACATTTCCTGGCTTAATGTTCAAGTGCAAAAATCCTTTTGAGTGCAAGAGAGCAAGTCCCTTTGCAATATCAAGGTTCACTCTCAATCGCAAATTCTGCGACATTTCCGACTTCTTGTTAATGAAGTCTTGCATCGTCCCGAGCGGCGCAAACTCGGTGACAACCCACTTTCGATTGCCAACCAACACCTTTCCAATCAATTTGGTGAGGAACGGCGAATTAGGGAAATTGTCCAACACCGTGATCGGGTCGTCGAGTTCTTTTTGGTCTTGTCCTTCAAGAACAAAACCGCCCAAATCTTTCACAACGACTGGCGTATTTGCGTACAACGCTTTGCATGAAGTGACGTCATATCTTCCTGACATTACTGATTGAATTTCGATTAATTTTGGGTCGATGAAAATAGTCTCTTCAGTGTTTGTTGATATCTTAAAGTCGAGTTTAGCATTGACAACGTTATTCTCATACACAACCGTCTTGAAGAGAATTTGTGTGGAGAACGAGCACTTCGGCTGGAAGTTCAATTTGATGAAGACACACTTCCCGGCCTCTAAAACGACATTCTTCGGCTCGAAATTAATTTGGAAGCGCACGTCGTTCTCTTCTGTCTCAAAATATAACTCGACCAATTCCTTCCCTTTATTCCCAATGTAAAATCCTTTTGTATATTCTTTGAATAATTCCATCCCTTCAGGAAACTCGATGAGTGTTGTACTACTTAATATCGTAGGAAGCGTTGGATATGGCGTCAATAAGATATCACAATGCTTCAATGAGAACACGCCATTCTCTCTCTTATATTGGATTATTATTTGACGCTTCTCATAGTACCTGTAAAGCACAAATAAGATCAGAAGAACTATACAGATGAATAAGACTCCACACACTATACACACACCAACGGCCCAACCTAACACACGACGTTCACATCCCATTCGATCATTGGTCAGTTTATACCAACTCGAACACTTGTTGCAGAAATTGTCAATTGACGACACACAGTGGGCAACTGTCGAGTATGGAACACACGTGTTGTCAGATAAGATGGTATCTTCCGCGCATTTCAAACACGTGTTCTTCTCCGAAGAACACAAAATGCAATTTGAAGTGATTTGTTCGCATGAAACACATTTGCCTTTGGAGATGTAATATCCCGGAATACATGTGGTGCACCCACTTGGATCTACTGAGGTACAATGGGAGTTCAAAATATCACTTTTTGAGAGACACGACCCATTGTATAAATAATACTGGAGTTGACATTGAAGACATTGGTTCAATGAATTACAGAGACTACACCACTCGCCACATTGAAGACAATTTCCATCAGAAACGTAATATCCGTTCTCGCATTGAATGCACTTCCCTTCATTTGTTGTAACACATTTGTCGATGTTTTGATATGTACAATTCCCCGAGATAAACACACGTCCATCAGCACATTTG